TGAGAGAGGGGAGGAAGGCTGGAGGCAAGGCAAGCCGAACCCTGGCTTGTGTGCGTGTCGCCCATCTTATTATCAAATTAATTAAAGCGAACATCTGACAATGTCAATCGTGCCCGACGAAAAAAGGAGGAGGAAGGAAGAAAAGCGAATTTAAATGCTGCGGTCTCCCAGGACCTCATGTCAAGGGCTGCTTTTCATCGAGCGCTGCATGCGTTTGGCTCGCACAGCCACTGGGAAAGTGGAGGGGGGTTAACAAAAAAAAAAGGAGCTTTTATAAGCAAATGACAAGAAGGCGTTGGATTTTGATGTTGAAAAATGGCAGCATGAAAATAAATACACATCAGAAAGAGCGGCGAAGAAATAAAAAAGGGAATGGAGAGAGCCAATGAGAGAGATAGAGACGGGGGTGACATGAAAAGCCCCTCTCAAGCCGTTCAAAGTTGCTCTCAGATTGGGGGGGGGGGGGGGGGTTATAACCACCCGACGACCAGCCAACATTAAAGAGTCCATTTAAAAACTAGACATTGAAATGCAGAAAGCCTGCTCGCTTGTGGACTCGGGGTCAAGTAACGGAGGGATTATATGGTTCTTCATAATAATATTAATTAAACAATTTACATGCTAATAAGGTAACAATTATCGGAGCTTCTGGTGAAAGATTCAGGTTATTACAACACGCCAATCCCAGGGCTACGGGTCACCGGCAGAACAGCAGAGAGAAATCTCAACTCAAATTAACATTCTGTCAGCTCCAGAAATTGGATAAATAAAGTCGAATTAATTCACAGTAATGGAAGAGGGAGGGGGGAGGCACTTATTCAACCAGCTCTGATTACCATTCAGTATTCACCAGCACGCGGGTGGCTTTCTGTCAAGAAATTTAACACAAAATGAAGCAGTCACCGCCTCGGGCAAGATTTGGCCCCTGCGACACCGCTTACAATTTATATGTATAATCTCCCCCCCCCCCCCCCCCCCTCTCTCTGTCTCTCTCTCTGTCTCTTCAACTCTCCCTCCCTCCCTCCCTCCATCGCTTACCCAAAGATGTCCACCTGGACACCCAGTTGCTCCTGGCCTGCGCCGTGATTGTAAATTTCCAAACCTTTCATTTTCCAACGCACACTTCAATTTGAGCACCATTTCCCCCGCATTAGGCAAGACTCTTAACTCGATAGGATAACTTGATTGCAGTAACCTTCTCTTTCTTTCTTTCTTTCTTTCTTTCTTTTTCCTCAAGACAGACACGACATATTGCTAAACATTTCATATTCATTCAATGTTCATTGTATAAAATAAAAAGCTTAAAATTATATTTTGGAGGAGAAGCAACTAAATTTCACTTTGTCATTTTATGGTATTAGGAATTCTTCAGTTTGGTTTTTAGTCACGCTAGCCGTGCACCTCAACATTTTATACAGACATTCATGGTCTCCAGAGGATAAATCCTAATGACTTTGGTGATTCCCCGCTTTTCCTGTGACTTTTGTGGTTTTGAGTGTAATGTCTCAACAACTATCGGATGGATTGCCATGAAATTCATGTCCCCCGCAGGATGAACTGGAGTCCACCAGTCCTTCGCCACCTCACCTACGTGTCTGCATCCTGCGGTTACACATAACACCCTTCTCTGTGTAGGCCTTCTGGGGCCGTTATCGCGTATCTTTAGAGAAACAGAATTCCAGCATAAGAATCCAGAGCTGCAGTAGCATCTCTGTTAGCTTGTAGTTGGGTACATTGGTGCTTTGAGCTAAGCAACCCTTCATGCTAACATGCTAATGTTTAGCAGGGAAAATTTTTTACCATTTTCACCATGTAAGTTAGGCGTGTCTGCTAAAAAAAGTCAATCATTTTGCAGGTATTTGGTGACAAACTAAAGTATTGGGTAGATTAAATATTTGACCTGATGATGGTGCTATGAAAAGTCAGGGGATCACCAGAGTTAATGCATTTATGTCAGGAGGGCGGTTGGAAACGTGGACGAAAACAAAGGTAAATGTGCTAAATACAAAATAAAACACAAAACCGAGTGACACATGAAGTTCTATCCAGTGAGATCTTTATTAGCATGAGAAGAGGAGCAGTAATTCAGTAACTCAGTAGTGTCTTTGGGTTTTCCCCATAGCGAGCACCCACAGATGACAGTCCTCTATTACATGTGATTTTTGTGGCGTTTCTGAGAGATTATTATGGAGAATACTTTTTTTTTACGAGAGGGTCCGTTTCACGAGCCAGAACAGCAAAAGATGTCCAAAGAAAGAAGTCCAATTTCATGCTTGTTCTGCTCGCCGTTCTGACCAACGGGCTGCACGCGATGACGGTTGATGGCGGTGGTTGAAACGGTTTCTTATGGTGGAGCAATAATAGCGTTTGACGTAATACCACCGGGGCCCAATAACTCCAGTAGCAGTGCTTGTGTTTTGCTACTGCGATCCGCTAGCCATGACACCCCGTGCCATTTAAGGCTTTGTGTCCATTGTGGTTTTATTCAAAGGAGATCACTGTTCAAAGAAGAAGAGAAACACTTAGAGGAACGCAAACCGGAGTTCAAATGTCGTCAATCGCAAGTGCCACTAACAGAAGGTGACAAACTGAGAAAAGGATCGGCTAACAACATAGAAACCCCACCAGGTGCAACTCTTTGTGGAACTTATTTCTGTCCTATTTATTTTATAGCATCCATGTTTGACATAATTTGATTCATAACATTAGTAATCCTGATCTGGTGTTGACATTTTTGTTTGAAATGGATAAAAAAGTTACAACTTTATCAAAGAAGTTATGTGGCGTAAGCCTGAGTTGTTTTAGCAACTGTGGTCCAAGCTGTTTTTATGCACTGAAATACTGACCATATGTAGGTGTAGAGGGAATACCAGGAGAATAAGCACGCAATTACGGTGTGAATTTATATGTAAATATAGTACGTGTCAATATGATGGAGTTATTATTCACGGCTGAATTATAGTTAATGTAAAACAAGTCATCATCTGCGTTTTTAACAGATCAAACACTGGGCCCCAGGATTCTCTGCAACAATTACTTTTAATCCTAAATGAGTTGTTTTTTTGATCTTTAATTATTTCTTTCTTGGAAAATTCCTGATTCACTGTAAAAAAAATAAATGCATAAAACTATTAATGAAGTTGTTGTAGGTGGAATCGCTTGTGTATCATAATGGATACACATTTATTCATCATCATGTAATACATTTATATACTGTATGTAAAGATTTTAAGTCAAGTTGCACTACTGAGAGAGAGCAGTAACAACTGAGACTCATGTAGAATCTGTAGGTGCTCTGGTTTCTGTTTGATGTCATAGTATTGACCAATCACGTTCAAGCAGACTTTGGTTGCATGCAGGTAAACAATCCGTGCATTGGCCCGAAAAGCAACCTGGGAACCCCCCCCCCAGCTATCGTCTGACGATGATTTTACTCTTCATTGTTTTAAAATTAGCTTGTCAACCAGCTTCTTTTGAAACAATCTGGATGGACTATGGCGGCAACCTCCGGTTCTGCCGAGTGAATCCGATGCAGAAGTGTCTTAAACTCACATTCTCTCTACTGACCAGCAGGGGGCGACTCCTCTGGTTGTAAAAAGACGTCAGATTGTATGGAAGTCTATGAGAAAATGACCCACACATGAAGCACACACATTGTGGGCTGGTCAACTGTTTATATAAAGAAGCCAAAAAGACTTCCACTTAGGGAGCTTAGCTTCTCCTCCTGTTCTTTTCTCACTGCCGATGTGCTCAGCTTGGCAGTCTTGACAGGTTTTGCTCCTAAACTAGCTACCGGAGGCCTATATAGTCTGATCCCATGCTCAAATAGAGACTTGACAACATTGGACAACATCAACATACATATTACCCAGCAATCACCGCTGCATGTATGACACTAACATAATTAAGATATTCATTTCATCAAATAGTTTATTTTTTTATAATGTATTCATTGTTATTGTAATTTGTGTAGAATAAGAATATAATGATATGAATTTTACTTTCATTTTCTATTTTTGTGTATTTATTTCTGGGCCACCCGCCCACAGCCAATGTCTATGTTTACGCCCCTGTAACTGAATTTAAAAGTTGATATTGACCTCAGAAACTGCAGTAGCTGTTGTAGAGTTTATTGTGCTTTTTCTTTTCTGTTTTTTAAAGTGCTGTATTATGGATATTAGGCTGATTAAACCTCAAAACATTCTAAATGCAGTAGTTGCAAAGGATTCCTACCCAAGCAGTAGACTGCAAAAAACAAAACAAACACCTTCCTGTAACGACATGCAGCCTGCACAGTGGACGTCGAGTGGAGCTGCAATGTGCGGATATTGGATTCTTGGAAACGCCACATCATGTAGGCTACAACCCACTTTGTTCGTCGTTTACAACTAAACATCAGTGTAAGCTGTTCAGGTGAAAAATCGAGATAATGATGCGGAGTTAGTGTGTGTGTGTATGTGTGTGTGAGGGGGGCGGGGGGGTTCTGGGAGATGGAGAGAGGCTTGTAGTTTAAAATGCGATGTGACAGCTCAGGAAAAAGGGGGGGGTGATAAAGGCGCTGTTATTGGATCAATCTGGCCCTGAATGCCCCTGTAAAACACTTACACACACACACACACACACAGAATGCAAACGCGCGCACGCGCACAAGTGAGAAGAGACGAAAGCGTGGAGAAGGGAAAGATTCATTGCTTCCTAAAGTTAGACGAAAACGTGTTTTCTCATGATAAATATACGTAAATGTCGGTTGTATTTCCTGAGAATTTAATGGAGACGGCCTATCAATCACGTGGCTATTTGCACGCGCCGGCTTAGCGTCGTCCTCATTGTTTTGACAGGGCTGAATTAAAGGACCGCGCCAGGTGTAATTAGCGATCGATCCACGAAAGTAAAAAAAACAAAAAAACGCTCTCTCTCTCTCTCTCTCTCTCTCTCTCTTTTCCGCGTGCTCTGCCTTCCTTTACACCATTAACCGCGTCTCTGACGTCACAGGGCGATTAACGTTTCTTATTGGTCCCGCGAGCAGATGGAGGAGTCCTAATGAGCTGGCTGGCGGAGAGAAAAAGCAGGGTTGACATCTCGGTCGGATCGTAAACGTGAAACAGGCTGTAGCCTACCTCGTATAGCCCGGTCCTCCGCCGCTCCTCTACAGACCGCGTACCGTGGCCGCGGGAAACGGGTCCGTGCAGCCTGGGTTCCCCCTTCTCTCCCCCGCTCCTCCTTCATCTCTCCTTCCTCCTCGCAGCAGCTTCTTCCTCCTCTCCCTGACTTTTTGTTTTTTCGACTGCATGTTCAGCCACACTGCCTCCCTCTGCATCTTCACTTCGGCCCCGCCGCAGCCCGGGCGAGCATGGACAGTCGGGTACTCGAGCATCCTCACGCCCAGTTCGCAGGCTCCTTGGGCGGGCTGGTGGGCTTCCCGTACGGGCTCAGTCCCCATCACCATCACCACCACCACCACCTCTACGAGCTCGCCAACGGACACCAGCTGCAGTCTGCGGCCGCCGCCTCCTTCTCTATAGACGGATTACTTAACGGCTCCTGCTCGGCCTCGGTGGTCAGCTCTAACTCGCTGCTGTCGCCCGACAGCCAGTTTAAACTCTCAGGTAGGCCTGGTTCTTTTTGTCTCACGTCTCATTGAAGAGAGCTGTGTGGAAACAAAGCAACGTAGACCTTGTAGGAAGTGCAATGAATCCAAGTGACATGTTTTATGGCCAAATAAGAGGATAATGGACTTTTAGGCTAAATGAAACATGTTTTTAGTCCGCAGGGGCAGATTTTCTACTAGAAAGTTAGTCTGCAGAGAAAACCATGTTGCTTAAAAGTTCTGGAGCTTAGTCAATTTAAAAAAATAAATGAAAAAAGTTCATGTTTAGGCTAATTTTGAATACGTTCACTATACAAATGGCAATAGAGGTTAAACTAAAGGCAACAATTTCTAATTAAACTCGATGGTATTGATATTGACTGCGGATTCCTGAGTGTTACATGGTAAAAACTGGAATTTTAAAATCTCAAAAATAGCATTAAAGTGTGTTTCTTTTAGGCCCACGGTTTGTGACATGACTTATCAGAGTTCAACATTTAGAACAGGTTCGACAGCGGTCACACTGAACTTTACACTAAACTGATGCCTTACAAGCAAACCGTGCCATGACAGTCCTCTCTCTCTCCTCTCTCTCTCTCTCACTCACTCACTCACTCACACACACACACACACACACACACACTCACAAACACACGCTTGTACAAACACACACACGTCGACCCCTGCAGATTCTGGGGACCCGGATAAGGACAGTCCCGGTTGTAAAAGGAGACGCACGCGGACGAATTTCACCGGGTGGCAGCTGGAGGAGCTCGAGAAGGCTTTCAACGAGAGTCACTATCCGGATGTGTTCATGCGGGAGGCGCTCGCGCTCAGGCTTGACCTCGTGGAATCCAGGGTTCAGGTAAAGACACAAAGAAATGAGTCAAATGTTCTGGGAGGCAATTATTCATTCGTTTTGTTGAGTGGAGGGAAAACAGATATAGTTTCTACTTCAGACGTTTTAATGCATTTAATTTGGATACTTCCATGTCGAAATCTACAAAAGGTTATTTAAAAAAGACGTCAGATGGCTGTTTGTTTTGTGAAGGCGTACTCCACACACAGATAGCTATTTGTCAATTATCAAAGCATCAATAAAGGGTCTCTTTTGAATTATGCATGGGGGCCACCTATTGATTTATGGGTTAATAAAAACAAGGCCATTTACTGAGCAAACCAAGGGGTGAAAATGGTAATTAGAATTCTTCCTTTACATTCAGTTATATATCAAATGATTTAGCTTAATATCTGATTAATCAGCAATTTATTCTCAATTCCACCCTTATTTGTAATCTTTATACATGCACGTTTAGGTTGTTCAATTTAAAGTTTAAGATAATGCAATACATTAATTATATCCTTTTATTATTACTATTATCATTATTATCATTACTAATATCATTATTATCATTACTATTATTTAAAAATACATATTTTTTGGTATTGACAAAATACACAAAATGATAGTAAAAGTATGTACAATATTTTAAGATTAGCCTATATTTACACTTTTTACACATCAATTAACAAATAATAATAGTACAAATATGATTGTTTAAATAATAATGAATATTATATTATAATAGTAATATTGTTGTGATTAGTGATGCTAAAAAGCTGAAAAAAATTATTACAATTTAACAAAATGCAAGACCTTATGATAACTTTTTTTTATTAAAGGATCAAAATACATGTAATTTTGTTAAAGATGATGCAACCATCTTTCACATTCCACCATGATATTTAATCTGATAATAATAGCTTAATAGCATCATAATAATAATGATAATAATACAAGAAAGACATACAGGTTTAACACGTAGCCTGTTATTTGCTCAGCATGTAGAAACTGTGCATCCATGTATGATGTTCTATGTCATTTAACGTATATTCATGTATTTCTGAGCCACATACAATTCGCATGCACGAGCAAAAAGCGGGACGGAAGCAGAGCTCCCGGTTGCTGCATGTTGTTTTGGGGGATTTCGCTCCTAAACCTCAGATTATTGTTCCCCCAAGCTGCTTAGCGCGCCTTTATCACCAGGTTTGCGGGGGAAAGATATAACCAACATTAACAATTCATAAGAAGCGCCATTGTCGCACAGGATGTCGGTGTCCCGTCCTTATTATGCAACGTTTCGCGGATCGTTCTCCCGCATGCTAAACTCCTGGCTGTTATCAGCGCCGAACATGCGGCCCTGAGCGCGCCCAGAGGCCCGGCAGCGAGGGGGCTCTCGGGGCGGGTGGAGGTTCCGTCTCTTGGCGCGGCGCGGCGCGGTGCGGTGCGGAGGAGAGCCGGAGTGTTGAAGCCCCGTATGAGCGGAGGGCTGCGCGCGAGGGAACATACAGAGACCGATGGCTGATTTCGCTACGGTACAATTAGATGTAAATTGGCGGAGTTACCCATTACGCAGACTCACTGGTAATTAACAGCGGCACATCTGTGTGCATCTGCTGGTCCACCGCTGAGACCCAAAGTAACCCAACGCAGGCTTCTCCTCACACCTTCAAGGCTGCAGTAAACTAAGACACTGATCGGCAGGCGGCAGTGATCTCACTTGTCTCAGGGCTTTTGTGGAATTTGTTTGGATTTGTAGGCAATCTGGTTTTGTCCTTACCATCTGATAAGCGCTCTGACACTGATTTATCACCACTGCTGTGGCAGGTGTGAGGTCTGTTGTTGTCTAAACACACACACACACACACACACACACACACACACACACACACACACACACACACCAGAAGTGACATTTTGCTGCATTCATTTTTATTGGAGGGGGATACATTATTAAGAACAATTTAATCCAAGAAAATAACCCCAAATACACAAACTCGTCCTCGTAAATGACAGATAATTTGGGATGCAGCTGGCAGAAAGTGAACATTTTGGTGTCCGTACAGGAAGTGTTTATTGCAGGGATGTGTTGCATCAGATTGTGGAGGTGTTTATGTTAGTGGTATATGCATGATGTAGTTTTACAAGTCCAGCCTCAAAGAAATGAATGCGCTGTTTTATAAAGACTTGCACAGTATTGTTGGCCCACACTTGTGTTTATTGTTGATTCACTAGGATTGTTTAGTCTGTAAATCCACAGAGCCCAAAAGTTGTTTTCAATTTGCCTTTTCTTGTCCAACCAACAGTCCAAAACACAAAGATATTTAATTTACAAAAATACATGAATACAAATCCATCCAAAAACCATGAAGCAAAAATAAGCAAATGTCTGGCATTTTTAAATGACTTAAATGAATATTTGCTGATCAAAATTGTTGACAATGAATTATCTGGTATAATAATCCATTCATTTTAGCACCAACCCCAACAAAACTGCAAAACCAAATTGATATGAATATTCTGAACCAATAAATAAATGGTGTTTTGACAGATGATGACATGGAAAGAAACTACTTTCAAACTATAATCATGGCACGTGTCAATTTTCCACCTGTGTGTGTGTGTGTGTGTGTGTGTGTGTGTGTGTGTGTGTACGTGTGCACAGGTTTGGTTCCAAAACCGACGTGCGAAGTGGAGAAAGAAGGAGAACACGAAGAAAGGGCCGGGGCGGCCTGCTCACAACTCCCACCCGACCACGTGCAGCGGCGAGCCCATGGACCCCGAGGAGATCGCACGCCGGGACCAAGAGCGGGCCGAGAAGAAGAAACGGAAGCAGGAGAGGAAGCTGCTGAAGTCCCAGAACAAACTCCTCGCGGGCGACAACTTCCACACGCCCGGCGGCTCAGACAGCGACAGCGGGGTCTCCCAGTTCACCGACAGTGAGCAGCAGTCGTCGAGCGTCGGCAGGACTATTCACATTGAACTGCCAGCAACAAAGGGTGCTGGGGGACACCACACCGAATCCAGCTGTGACCAAACACGACACGACTTCAACCAACTGCAAAACCAGCAAAACCAAAGAACGGTGGGAGAACCGGAGCAGGTCTCTCCATGCAGCACGCACAGCTCCAGTCCTGGAGGCCCGAGGTCCTCCGCCCTGCAGAAGCGCAACCCTTTCAGCGTGGAGAGCCTCCTCTCCGACGCCACGCCTCGACGGAAACCTCAGCTGGACTTCCCCTCGTTGCCCAGTCAGAGGACACTGGTGGGTAAAGGTCACTTCTTGCTTTACCCGATTACCCATCAGCCCTTGGGCTTTCTCGTGCCCCAAACGGCCCTGAAGGCCTCACCGTGTCAGGACAGCATTCACAGGCTCAGCCTGGGACAGAGGTGCGTGGCGAGCGAAGGGAGCCCCGCTCCCTCCGACCTATCCGGCTTTGTCGCCAAGCCTCTGACCTCGGACCGCGTGGAGCATCACCACGATCACATTAGCAATAGGGCGGACGGAGACACAGACATGGAGGAGTGTGGCGGCGACCGCAGCAATGGAAGACTGCCCGGTTCTCCCCCACCAAACGGGCTGAGCTCCGCGCAGTCCGGCGACAGTGGCGACGAGAGGAGTTTGAAAGTTCCGACGGAAGCAGCGACAGCCGACGAGCTGTGCGCTGAAGGGACGGGTGCGAGAGAGGAGCGAGCGTCTCCGGACCCCTGCGAGTGTCTCGAGGCAAACACAGACTGTCAAGAAACACCCGGAACAGATGGAGAGGATGTCGATATGGACTAACACTTGCGAGGAGCAAACATAAACAAAGGACCAGGAACACCGCTCAGACTATTCAAACATTCCCAAAGCTCTGCTGAGACACTCGAAAAAACATATCAGGAATCAGGAGACTTTAATTCTCATCTATTTTTTAATCATAATGTGTGACCAATCCAGATGCCCCCCCCTCCTCCCCCCCAAAAAAGCTGCGGCTGTCCCTCCCATTCAGGCTTTAGGGCCTAAACACCTAGAAGCAGGTTCTTTCTCTCTGTTTTTGGTGACCAACTTGTAACAAAAAAACTCGGCCACAATAAACACCGTTACACACAACAAAGATCCTCAGATATTGTATAAACGAGAAAATGATATTTATATGTGAACATTTTGATAAATAAAGTTATTGTTTAATTGAATCACTGTCTTTCTAGGGCCCTGTTGAGGGGGGGGGGGGTGCTGTGTGGCGGAACCTTGGATCATGTGGATGGAGCTTTGTCATGTTACAGCAGATAAATCCTCTTTTTTTTCTCTGTGTAGTGAGCCAGAGCTGGGCCTCAAGTCCGTCTGGCTGTTTGTATTTATTGCTTTAACAAATTTATTCATTTGAAAGGCCGAGCTGGAATGAGGTTAGTGGCCGCGGGCTATAGGACCCTGCGCCTCCTGCTGAGTTTTGATATGAAAGTAATTATTTTCCCACTGGCTGCCACGGGTCTCGAGGCAGTGTTTTTTTTTTTTTTTTTTCTTCCTCCTTTCAGCCCAAAGGGTTATTAGACATTACCGATTTCTAGTGATACGGAATCACATAAACTTCCTACAATAATAGAATTAGCATGAAAGGCAGGGGTGTCAAATTGAAATGGGAAAATAATAGCCGCGCCAGCTGCATCGTGTGTGTGTGTGTGTGTTTGTGTGCGTGTGTGCGCATAGTCTATTGAGCGCGAGGAGGAGGAGGAGATGGCGGTAGATTCGTGGGGCGGAATTTTCATGAGCTGCCGCGGTTGTCAGACGGCCCTTGTAGTCGGCTATATTAAGATAGATGTTCGATGATATCCCTCATTGTTCTGTCGCTTATATTGATGTTGCTGCGTTATCGCCCTATTGATCATGTGTCGCACATAATAGGACAGGCGCGCGCCCGCCTGCCTGCGCCTTTTTACAAAAGCGCCGGGGCCCCCTCGTCATTTGTTCTAATAGGACTGCGAGTCCCTCGGGGGGAGACAGATAAAGATATAGGAGAGGGAAGGAGGGGGGGTGATGTGCCAGGCTTGCATTAATATTATTTGACCAATTGTTGGCTGAGCTAAAAAAAAAAAAAAAGTAAGAAAGAAAGTGAAGAATGGCTGAATTAAAAGATGTTGTGGGACAGAAGAGGAGACGGATTCTCCTTAACGTGCAGGTGTGTGTGTGTGTGTGTGTGTGTGTGCCGACGTGCGCACACGCGCCCGTTAGGGAAAATAGTGTGTTTAGCTTATGAAGTGTAAACGCCACCAATTCCCTGGGAACTGAAATCCCAATTATTAAAACCATTAATTCTGGCGAGCCGGTGCGCGGAGGAGGCGCGTTGACAGCCCGGCTAAATATCCCTGATCCCTCCCGGTCACCTCGCCTTTATTTGCAAATAAATTGAGGGGGTTCCGAGGGACAGAGCTTTACTTTGCAGCGCCGACCTAAAATGAATTTCCGTGCCTGAGTCCCTTTAATAATATTTACATAATTTTCGCTCAGTGACTCTGCTATTTGCGCTGTAGGAAGCGGGGGGCTTATAGGAAAATAATTAGACAAGAGGACGAGGAGGGAGCGAGAGTGAAAAACAGCAGGAGGAGGATGGGTTAAGACCGGAGCTGAACACTAAATTCCCAGACAGCTAAAATCAATGAAAGTAATAACCCTATTATTTAATTCATAAGGACATTATTTCCCCACAAGGCCTCGGGAAACGTCCCCTTCGACCGAAACAATCACATTAAATCGTTCATTCCGCGTGCGCGGTGTGAAATTTCTACTTTTATTCTGTCTTTCTTTCTTTTTTTCCCTTTTTTTTTGGAGGGAGGAAACGCTTTTATTATAATCGTTTGGCTTCAAGAGTGTGATTAATTAGAAAATATAGGTCTGATCTCCCTTCAGCAAGGCCTTTATAGTGTGTTTGTGCTGTGAGTGCACGTGTGGAGACAACGAGCGCATAAAGTGCGCCCTTGTTGTAGATTATGGGCCCTTTTTTCAAAATGAATGAACTGAAAAATAGGGTTATGATTTTACTTTGGACATGGGCCTCCATATCATCAGAGGCAACATACAGCCCATCTAAGTATCTCACTACATCTGCTGTATGTTCATTTGGACCTGTGGCTTTAATTAAAGGCCTCACAATCAGGGACGTGCAATAAATCTGGAGGCGAAATGCCTTTTAGAAGTAGAACTCGAACAGATTATGGTGCAAATCCGCTGTAGAAACAGCTTTGGTTTAGCGCGTTGGATGCTCTTTTCGTGTAAAGGAAAAACATGTCTGCATGTAACAAGACACATTCTTACTTTTTCTGTCCATTTTGGGAAGAAAAGGCCTGTGTGTCCGACCAGAAACATGATCAATCAGACTATAACTTCTATCCACCTATCTATCTGCTATGGCATCTATGGGGGGGGGGAGAGAGAGAGAGACAGACAGACAGACAGAGAGAGACAGATAGAGAG